AATTAGTCAATTTACTTCAAAGTGATTTCAAGTACGACACCTAAATTCAGTCTATGAATGATTTTCATTGCAAGTTATTTACATGATTAGTTGCCAGAGATAGCGTGTTGCATTTTTAACACTGTAGAAATTGTCTTACTTGTTTCTACTAACTGCGAAATGCACTTCTAATTAGCCTCTCTAGGAAGCTGAGGTTGCTTTTCATATTCTGAATTACAAAATTACTTTGAATTTGGTTCATAAACAGTCATTCATTCAAATTATTTTACCGTGACTGGACAATAGGTAGGAACTAATGTCATGTATTTAGTCCATTGTTCGGTGCAGACTGAATTCTATCAGTCACATTTGCAATGTGGCTAACATTCTAGGTAAGTCATCAAACTCCGAATTATTGTCAGATCGTTGGAGGCAGTTAGCAGGAAGCCACGGACCTAGGTTTCGTGCTTGCTGGCACTCATCAGCAGGCCATATGTGCATCAAACGTATGACTAGATGGATGAAATTGGTTACTAACGTATGACCAATGAAAGTATCCATTGCAGTCCTGAAGGAGGTCAGTCACGATCATGAATAGCTCAGTGGTAACGTCTCTCGGGCTGATTTGAGTTTCAAGAGGGACACAAGTTCCTTGGAGATTGCAGATATGGCTTGATGAGGTGTGCCAACAAGTACGAAACTGAGGTCCAAAACCTTCCACCGACTGCTTCCAAAGACCTAACCAAAAAAATTACATTTTAAATCACAGTAGAATAACACACACCTCAGGTAGTAAACATGATAACAAAATATCACCTGGTAGCAATTCTAATTACATTTTGAACAATATTCATGTCGCCAGAGGTGAGGTGTGTGTAAACATTTTAGAAATCAGAGAAACCGTATTACAATTATGCGAAGGATAAATTCCAACTGTTGATCAATAAGCAATTTAGGCCTCTAATGTTGCTAATATGCGCAAGTCAAATGTGGTATAGGTTTAATTACTCAATGAACTCATTGTAACAGTTGAATACAAAGAAATCTGCCCATTCTTGTTCCAGTCATCTTCATCTACTAAAGATGCAGACTTTTCCGCTAAATTCGAATTTTAAAAGAAGAAATTATATGTATGATAGTCAGCAAAATGCTTAGAACATTAGAAAGAGGGTAATTTTGATGTTGCTTAGCTCTTTAACACAGTTGGTTTAATAGCTGAAGATTGAAGTTAGCACTGAAGACTTTGCCTAAGAAGACATTAGCTAATAATCTAAGATAATTCTGTCATCCTTATGTTTTATTTCACTATGATTTTTTAAAACCAATTCTTATTGGAAAAGTTCATGATGATAAGCAAAATGTATGTTAAAACTATATCATAAACAATCTGATTAAATATTATAGGCTGGAAGATTTCATCATGAGCTGAAATTGGTAAGAGAACCATTGGAAATCAAACTGGGAGTACTAGACAGCTGTTTCGTCCTAGTTTGGAACTCTTCAGAAGTACTCACCCACACCACGTTGTTCGAACCCAGAACATTCTGGTTACAAGGCGAGCTAGCTCATAGACCATTAGGTCACTGGGAACCGATCCAATGGCCAGTCCATGAATTCTAACTTCTGCTAATTCATGACATTACGCAACCGATTTGCAATGTATTCTTCGGTGAGTTACTGCCTCATCAATCTTTGTTCTATTATCTGTCGGAATTAAAGAAAGAAAATTTATGCATGAAGCCTCACAATCAAACTATAAAGCTGTGAAAGAACAACAGAACTTCGAACTCAATCATTCTAGTTACAAATCTCATGTGTCGTTATACGAAAGGAGTGTATTTATAAATTGAATTATTTTCTATTTCATTTGGATTCTTTTATATATGAACTTTAAAAAGTTTGAATAGAGTTATATTTACTGGTAACATACTATATATAGTGCAATGTGTTGCAGTGTATACGATGTGCACTGTCTATTTAGTGATTGTCTAATATGCCATGTGATATTCATATATATAAAGTTGCTATTTAAATACTTTTGACAGATGTCTATCAAATTTTTTCGGCAGACAGAGGGAGAAATTAAGAGAATGCATGTGCAGATTTGTGAATCAAGGGATTTATTGTGACAAAAAAGATCGACTCGTTGTGGTCTGAACCCTGGAAACCAATCTTTGAGTCGTTGAAAGACGCACAGTCATGAAACGCTCCAAAGACAAAGAAAAGACGGTTATTTACCGATAGATCTATGTGGTTTAATTCAATAATAATAATAAAGTGAAAAGCAAAATTACCTCAACAGTGTTGTTAAAATGCTACACAGGATAGATAATTTTCTAGTGTCAAACAAGTAAAGTAGAAGAAAATTAGTTAACCAAAAATTAAGCTGTAAGAAGTATGGAGGATTTCATTATGAACTGACATCAGTTAGAGAACCACCGGAAAACCTGCGGGGATTACTGGACAGCTGTTTCATCAGTCTAGTTTGGGACTCTTCAGCAGTACGCACCCACTGCCTTGGTTTGAACCTAGGACCTTCTGGTTACAAGTTGAGCTCTTAGACCATTAAGCCACAAGGACCCAAACCAGTCACCAGCCCATGAATTCTGACTTTTGCCAATTCACGACATAGCGCGACCATTTCACAATGTCTTCTTCGATGAGTTACTGCCTCATCTTCAACCTGCTGTACCCTACTGGTCACTGCTTGTACTCGGAAGGTCCTGGGTTCGAACCCCGGTGGGTGCCTACTGCTGAAGAGCCCCAAAACTAGGCTGACGAAACAGCTGCCCAGTACTCCCAGTTGGTTTTCCAATGGTTCTCTAACTGATGTCAGCTCATGATGAAATCCTCAATCCAATGAAACAAAATCCTTACAAAAGCAATACCTGTAAGAAGCATCTTAGAATCGAGTTGAATATTCCCAGCATGGGGAGGGGAAAACTCTATCCACAAGAATCGAATGACACGATTCTCTCACACAGTGCAAGTTCACAATGAACCCCATTCACTCAGAGAAAATCACATCGGAGAACAACAGTTGATCAATGGATCGCATGACTACAAAGGGAAGCATTAAAATTAGAGACTGAACATTAAATTAACATATGGTATAAAATATTACATCAGTGATATATAGCTTAGGAGAAAGGAGGATAATAGTTACAGAGTTAGTTTACACATCCAAATAATTATCAAAATTGTAAATAGACCGTTGAGGAGGTATTTTCCAAGCAATTATTGCGTTACATTTATACATTAGCTAATCAGTGGATAAGCTCATTCAAGAGCTACATGACAATGCCACGTTTCAGGTGATCCACAACGGAAAACTCAATCAGCGAGGCGTTCGAAGTGAATACAGGAGTAAGACAAGTTGTCCACTTGCTCGTTATCATCGATGATATTCTTAGTTGTGCTGGACTAGATTATGCGTCAGACTGTGCATTGTGAGTGAGAAGACAGGAATAAGTTGGAACAATAAGAAGACTCTAGGACATCTGAATTTCATCAGTGGATGATTTATGTCTCATGTCGCACAGACTCGAAGACTTGCAGGCAAAAACCAACAAACTGGCTGAAGAGGCTGGCAGCGAAGATAGGACTACGGGTGAACATAGAGAAGACGGAGATAGTGAAGATACCTACCAGCTAACAGCAACAGCAAAAATAACCAGCACCAATCACCACCAATGGGAGACATTTAACAGAGGTTGCCTTCTTCACTTATCGTTCACATCATCGTTTCAACTATATGCGGAACGCAGATATCAGGGCCCGCCAGAATCGGAAAGGTGAGATACTCCTTCATCAACCTGAAACCAGTTCGAAAATTTTCTGCACTCAACAAAAGGAACAAGATTCGCATTTTCAGCACTAATGTCAAGTCGGTCCCTCTATACGGGTCAGAAACTTGGCGTGTAACGAAAATGATTTCCAGCAGATTGCAGACTTTCATCAATAGCTGACTTCATCAGCTCCATACTGAAGGTCAAATGGCCAGAAAGAATAAGCAACAAGAAACTATGGGAACAAACCAACCAAGAGCGATATTTCAACAAATATGTAGCAGAAAATGGAGATGAATAAGACATATATTGAGGAAACTGTCGACTGACATCGCGCGCCAGGCCCTGGAGTGGAATCCCGACGGGAGGCGATGAATGGTCGTCAGTGCGAGGCTGACATGGAGGAGATCGTGTGATGAGGAAGAGATGAGGGATTATAGGCAATTATAGGTCCAGCAGAAAATAGAAGAAAGTATAGATGTGTTGTTGAAGCCCTGTGTTCCGCTTGGAACTTAAGGGAATAATAATAATCAGTTAATTATAGAGAATTTAGTCATCATGCTTCAGGTGCTGACCAGTATTTTATGTTAGATAAGTTTATCTGATGTAACACGCAGCAATATAGTATTATTATCATCAGTAAGGTGACGTTCTGGATCTATTTAAATGCACGTAATCATATCAATGATAATGCTCTGTTACTCTATGTGATAAGAAATAAACTTATCTAGCATGATTTCATGCCCTACCACAGTAACCGAATTCTTCTGACCAATGGTGACTAAAATTTTGAATAGAAATTACCTAGTTGGTCTCAGGTTTCGAAAATAAATTTTCTTATTAGATTATTATTATTACCACTGAGCTCAGTGGTAAAGTCTCTGACTGCAGCACTGCGTGACGCGGGTTCGAATCTCAGAAGGGACATGAGTTCCTTCAAGACTGCAGATACGCCATGCTGACGAGTGCCAACTAGCATGAAACCTAGGTTGAGCAAGGCTTCCTGTCGATTGCCTCCAACCATCTAATATCATCAAACCAGTGTGCACCGTGATGGCGAGCTACCTAGAATGGTGGCCACATTACAACCTGACTGATAGAATTCAAAGAGAGGACTAGACGCATCACACTAGTTACTAGTGTCAAATCAAAAATTTTCTTAAGATGACAGCTCATGCTCGACAATGTAGTTAAATATTCGCCAAATTCCAGCGGTGTCCTCAAGACACATTCATGACTAGTGAAGTATCAATGCAAGATCTTAGGCAAGTAGGTATTTCGTTAAAATAAAATTTAGAAAACGAAAGTTATGTGTAGTCATAAACGCATATTGTCAAGTGAAGAGAGAATATCCTATGCTATGACTTCAACAGATTCTTAGGTTATATGCATCCATAATAATTAAGGAATTATTGCTATTAATAGCATTACTGTTTTGATTGAAATTGACTAATTACGATCAATAGATTGCGATTCGAAACATTCCTGTATGTGATAATATGCATCAACATAACACTAAGCTGAATATAAGTTAGGAAAAATAACACAGAATTTATGAATTTATAGATTCAACAAAAAGAGCGGGATGGCAATAATGGTTTGAAAAGGTGTTTTCTGTACACAAAGTTCTAGTTGTTTTAAGTGAATTAGTGTGGCTTTTGTTGTTTGAAGTATTCGATACATACGAGACTTTTGAAGTCAATTCATTACACCAGAGATGATATTAACATGTTCTTCAGTGTCGGCTTTATATCCTGCTTGGTTTAGATACTTTAACCTCGAACTGTCAATAGTTTTTATTGCACCTTTGTCTAGGTGCATTAGTAGATGTTCCTGAGCACGAAAACTAAAGTCTCGAGAGCGACGGACAACATCAGTGGCTCCACAGTGGCGATCCTCTTAAAGCAACCAAAACTCTGCTCACGAAAGAAACAGGATCAGATACTATTACTACTCTGATCTACTGTGGAACCTATATATTCATAAACCCCGGTGGGTGCGTGCTGATGAAGAGTCCCAAACTAAGACGAAACAGATGTCCAGTACTCCAAAGTTCTCGAACCAGCCAATGTCAGCTCATGATGAAATCCTGTAACCAATCAACCAATTCCCTACAAACCAATACTTGGATATCAATGAGATGCTCACTGGTGACTGGCCCTATTCAGGTAGGTAGTTACCTGGGGTTCCAGTAGGAAGTCATGACCAGTAGGATGCAGCAGGTCGGGTGTGAGGACAAATACTCGCCGAAGACATTGGCTAACGGTTGCACTATATCGTGAATTGGCGGAAGTTAGAATTCATGCGTGCGTCGGTGGCATAGTGGTTAGGACACTCGCCGACCATTCACATGGTCCGAGGTTCGATCCCCGACCGACGCACTCCTTTACCTCGCCAAACCAGTAATAAAATTTCGGTAAAGAGGAAAGGTTGGGCATGAGGCTAGCAACCACGTTCTGTAAAAATAAACACTGCTACAGAAACTTCAAGCCTCTAGCTTGAAGCCCTATGTTCCACTGGGAAGGTGAAGGAAAAAAAAGAATTCATGCACTGGCCATCAGATTGTGTCCCAGTGGCTTGATGGTATGCGAGCTCGCTAGCCTTGTAACCAGAAGGTCCTGGGTGCGTACTACTGAAGAGCCGCAAACTAAACTGACGAAACAGCTGTCCAGTACTCCCAGGTTTTCCAATGGTTCTCTAACCAATGTCAGCTCATGATGAAATCCTGTAACCGATCAACCAAATCTCTACAAACCAATACTTGAATATCTGATATTCAGTTTAGTGTTATATTGGTGGGTTTTATCTCTCATAATAATGTTTTTCATAACAATAATTCTTTAATTATTATGAGTATGTGACTGTAGACTCTGATGAAGTCGTTGAAAAGAATATTCTTTGTTCACCAAACAGTCTTCAGAAATTTAAAAGATATTTTCAGTCAATTAGAACGTATATTGGTTAAATGGAAAGAAAGGATTCAGCCTACAATGTGACTACTAACTACTTCAGGCATATTGGAAAAATAAAACAATCCATAAAAATTCTAATTGATTTTCCAGTCCCTGATAGATGAAATCATCAAAAACTGCTTCCGTGACGTTAAGTGAACACAAAATACGCAAACACGCACTTGAATCTTGTTCGTACTCTTTTGTCTATCTACCTTTGTTTACTGGATGCAGTGTGACAACGTGAACTGCTGCACTTGTGTGCAAAGTTCCACGATGAAACTCAATCATTCAATCAGACTTATATGTTAGAAGCAAATTAATTTTATTTGGTTGGAGGATTTCATCATGAACTGACATCAATTAGAGGACCATTGGAAAACCAGTTGGAAGTACTGGACAGCTGTTTCGTCAGTCTAGCTTGGAACTCTTCACCAATACACACTCATCACAGGGCGTTCGAACGCAGGACCTTGTGTTACAAGGCGAGGAAGCTGGTGGACCATTAAGCCGATCTGACCCGATCCAATGTTCAGTCCATGAATTCTAACTTCTGCCAATTCATGATATAGCGCGACCACTTGGCAATGTCTTCTTCGATGAGTTACTGCCTCACCTTCAACCTGCTGTACCCTACAGGTCACGGCTTCCCACTGGAATCCCAGGTCACAACATGAATAGGTCCAGTCGCTAGTGAGCATCAAATGAACTTTCAAGTATTGCTTTTTGTAAGGATTTAGATTGATTGGTTGGAGGATTTCATCATCCAACGAATCAGATAAACAAAATCTCTACAAAACCAATACTTGAAAATAAATTTTACTCAGTAATCACTGTCATTTCCATGCGGTGATGAACGGTACGTCGGTATCTGGAGTAAAGTTCAAACACATGACTCAGTGGTTGAAATTACACCACCTAGATCAGTGAACCACAGCACGACAAACAAATATGGGCATATATGTTAAGCATACACTGTTATTTTTGGATATTTCCGCACTCATATCTCATCTAAACATAAACAAATGCTCTTACGGTAACAAACTATTCAGATTATAGTAAACCTAACTTTCATCTTATTATATTGTAGAACTGTCGTTATTATGAATATTGTAGAATGGTTATTTTTAGATTATATCACATATTGCATGACCGAAATATTTAAATGGTTTAGTTTCGTTAACCAAAGTTATTTATTGTACGTTGTTTTTTGACCTACTTCAGTGATAGTTATTTGTGATTAAGATTATGTTTGTCTATTGGCAGCAGTCATTACTAATGAGTTGTTACGGCTGTTATTGAATTAACAGTAACTGAAATAAATTCAGTATGGTTATTCAAAATTATTGGTGGTTTATTACTCACTGTAGCTACTAGATTATAAAGCCAAGGGATTGGATCCATTTACTCCTTCTGAATTCCCCCAGCGCCAACACTGAGTGCTAGATACATGACTTTGATCATATCCTAGTGATTAATCAGTGTATCCATCTTGGTCCGACGGGAGGTGAAACATGTTCCCGGATAGGTCAGTGGTGACGTCTGTGACTGAAACACTGGGTGATTTGGGTTCGGATCTCAGGAGGCACATAAGTTTCTTTTAAGGTTTTACATATTCCTGGATAATCAGGGACAATATACATAAAAGCTATATAATAAGGTTATTCTATCGACTGCCTTCAAACAGTTAAACAAAGCTGGAATATATAGCGAGTAAATGGGCCGGATATTTGTCTTTTTACTTGAACAGCTTTCCATCTATCTTCTAACATTTTGGAAGTCTATACTTTCACTGTCCTTTCACATTTGAATCCAGCTAACTTGTGCACTACACCAGATTCATCACCTCTGCCTTTACAGTTGCAGTGTAGACGATAAGTCTGTTGACAGTTGGAATTTAGGTTTGGAGAGAGTTCTATACGACCAGCTGGCCAGCATTCATATTTATTCGTCTACTAACTACACTCATTTATTTCTATTTAGTGATTCAGTTTTCTTTTATTATTGAGTAACACTCAATATAGGTCCTTATAGGAGGGGCATACATTGATTGCAACATTCTTTGGCGAATTCGTATTTTCACACTGGATGATCTTTCATTATTATCTAGTTAACTTTTATTCAGGACAGATGTTTTTCATAAATTTTGTTTTTTTACCAAGCTGATTAATTTCCAGTGTGGACTGCATCATAGAAAGACATCAGTTAAACTAACTTCATTAAGTACGTCGATGATCTAACCATTTCTCTCCCAGTAGTTTCTGCTTCGGATTATTTTGATATGAATAGATTCTTATCTGAAGTTAACGAATGGTCTCATCTAAATGGTTTTAAACTAGATCCATCTAAATGATTTTAGTTTCAGATCCGAGCAAGACTTGCGTGGACTGGTTGATTCAGTCGCATGATTCCTGTACTATTGACGGCTCTGTGATAGGGAGTAAATCAATTATCTCTATATCTTGGGATCAGTTTCTCTTCGAAGAAGTTGAGACTTTTTGCTGGCATAACGCAACCTCTTCTCTCACAATTTATCAATTCATGTATTCTGTCCATTCTTCTTTATCCCATTCCTGTTATTCTTCACTGCAATTCTCAAAATAGACTATATCATATTACGTAGAACACTGAAGACTGTAAGTAGGGTTAATGGTGTACCTTAAACTCAGATAATTGACATTATTGAGAATAGGCACTACGATTCTTACCATGATTTGGTTTAAGTTATCTTGTCAGATACTGAACAACCTCTTTATTCTCAACTTTCTCCATGTATGTCTTCGTGTGAAACCAGCAGAAACCTTTTAGGAATTTACGCTCGTATAGCCACTTAACATAAAAATTCTACGATACCATATTTATCACGGGTTCTGTGTGTGGAGAGAGAGTCAGATGTCAGAAAAGAACTTATAAGCCTTTTAAATCATTGATCTGATCTGGTATTATTTACTTATAATTCATTATGTTTTCACCAACATTCTGTTTATAGTGGTGGTTTCATTAATGAATATAATTATTAGTATTTTAAATTTTAGGCACGTACATATTTATAAAAGGGACAAAGTAATTGCAATATGTATAAAATGCTGAAAATTCCATTCTGTATAATTATTAATATTAGAACATAACATATAAGCGAACAATATCGTTCTTAATTAGATCTTTTTCAGGATTTACTCTAATTTACATAGATTTATATATGAAAATTTAAACCAATCACGGTGAATTTGTGGATCAAATAATAATAATAATGTGGTAAATGTTTTGAACGTCGTTAACAATGATGATTATAATAATAACAAAATAATGAAAATAAGG